CCTACCACACTGTGCGACGTTAGACGACCACTCCCCCCCGCGTAAAAAACCTCGGGGGTACCGGTAGCGGCGTTTCACGACGGGTACCGGTAGTACAGAACGGAAAACCGGACGGACCTTGAAGATTGAATTTGTGAAAAAACAACGAATCGGCGCGGCACTTATTTCACGGTCAAAATGATTTTATTTTATTTTTTCTGATATTTTTTCTCGAAAGATCACGACTCAATCTTTGGAAAAACAAATTTTCAGGCGATTTGATGAATTCTTCTGAGCTATAAAAATCGCCGAAGTTACCACTTGCAAATGGCGGGATTGGACCGGGCGGGCCACGAAAATTGACTTCGCGAAAAAAAAAACGAATTGGCGCGGCGCTTATTTCACGGTCAAAATAATTTTTTAAATTTTTTCTGATATTTTTATTTGAAAGATCACCACTTAATCTACGGATCCACAAATTTTTAGGCGATTTGATGAATTCTTCTGAGCTACAAAAATCTCCAAAGTTATCGCTTGCAAATGGCGGGATTGGACCGGGCGGGCCACGAAAATTGACTTCGAGAAAAAAACGAATCGGCGCGGCGCTTATTTCACGGTACAAATGATTTTTTTTATTTTTTCTGATATGTTTCCTTGAAATATCACGACCTAACCTACGAACCCTCAAATTTTCAGACGATTTGATGAAATCTTTTGAGCTACAAAAATCGTCAAAGTTACCGCTTGCAAATGGCGGGATTGGACCCGCCGGTGACGAACGGTCGCCGCCCCTCCTTAGAACCCGGTCCTAACTCACAGGGACTGCGGGTTTTTGGCAGCTGGGGGACAGGTGGTCTTAGCTTTCAACACACAGGCACATCCTGACGTGCCAGCAGCCTGATGCGGATACAGTTCGAAAGAAAGCAGTCCCCTAAAACATACAGGGACCCAGTCCGCCTCAATGGTTATCTCAATGAGCAATTCAGTATTTCAAAATGTGTACGTGGGTTCAAACCTTAACCCGACCACTGCAACCGAACTTCGAATACTTACGAATATATATATATATATAGTGTGTGTGGGCGGGCGGGCGGGCGGGCGGGGGGGAGGGCGTGTGTGGGTGGATGGGTGGGTGTGTGTGGGTGCGGGCGGGCGGGCGTGAGTGGGTGGGTGAGTGTGTGGGTGCGGGTGGGCGAGCGGGGGTGGGTGGGGGCTGTCTTTTCTTTTTCGTTTCCGCCGCGCAGAGAAGACAAAAAGAAATGAAAAAAGGAAAAGAAAGCGACGTGGAAAAGCGAGCAAAAAACAAAAGAAAAGAAAACAAAAAGAAATGAAAAAAGGAAAAGAAAACGACGCGGAAAAGCGAGCAAAAAAGAAAACAAAAAGAAATGAAAAAAGGAAAAGAAAAGCAAGCAAAAAGGAAAAGAAAACGACGTCGCGAGCGACCAAAAAACAAAAGAGAAAAGGAGAAAACGACGCGGCGAGCGACCAAAAAACAAAAGAGAAAAGTAAAAAACGATGCGTCGAGCGACCAAAAAACGAAAGAGAAAAGGAAAAAAAAGAGAAACGACGCGGCAAACGCGCAAACAAAAGCGAGCGAAACAAAAAGAAAAAAGGAAAACAAAAGCAAGCGAAACAAAAAGAAAAGAAAAGCAACTGAAAGCCAAAGGAAAAAGGAAAACTCTATCCGACGGCGGACGCTCCGAGATATTCCCTCCTATCGACGCCCGCCGCCGCGCGGCCATGTGGGCGCGCTCTTTCGATCTCTGGCGCGCTGTGAACAATTCGGTACGCGTACCGCTCTGCACACCGCCGCGCCCTCGATCGCCCTTATCCATCGGGCCGAATCAAAAGTTCGGCCCGATTTCGGCGCGCAGCGGAACACGACCTCCCCCCGCGGGCCCACCACGCTTAAGGGGTAGTATATATATATATATATATATATATATATATATTATATATATATATATATACCTATGTTTGAGTGTCCGCGTGGCTTAAAGAGCTCACGCTTAGGGGTCTGATTCGGGCAGAGGTTGAGAGAGGAAGGGAAACTCCCTCCCTTTACTGTTGTTTGTTTCTTGAAAATTTCTTAGGTCGGACGTTGGTCATGGGCCTGGATTCGACGTCCTTTTCCAGAACATCCCAGGTCCTAGACTCCGCGTGGAAGGGATCACCCCCTGCGCAAAGCCTATTTGCCCTACCCACTCGGGCACTCGGCCTAAGGGCCGAAGGTGCCGCGGAGGTCAAACGACTATTCCTTCAGCCGTGCAATATCATGAAGGGCTCGACCCTCACGATACTTCCAGATTGACACTTGAGTGTCATAAGCGGTACTCGGATCCATGAGGGACCGCTTGGTTATGGGCAGTACATAGTACGCCATTGTTGCGACTGCTTGAATATTCATGCATTGCTAGTCGATATGGGAAGACCCTGCATCCGCGCGATTTTATACTAAGTCTTGAGCGCGTCGCCTTTCCGATTCCCGCGTCGGAAGGTTATGAGACAGATACAAAAGGGACTAGGAATGTTGTTGCGTTGTTTGTTTTGTGTCGTTCTGTATGTGTGAGTATTGTGGTGTAACACGTGGTAAGTGAGATGCGTTCTACTTGACCGACGACGAATCGCGCTTGGGACTTCAGCCCCCAGTGCGCCGGTTCGCGTGCGAGTTTGAAAAAGGTGTGAGACCACGCGTAACCCGTATGCTACAGCGAACAAGAAACGCCCTCGACTGGTCCACCTCTGCGATTGCCGCTTATAAGCTTTCGTATTGTGGATTAGTAGCTCGGCGGGGATACACCCACCGAAGGGAGGTGACAACTCTCGTAACGTGGAGGTAAGTTGTACCTCACGTTGACCCTATCCTGTCGTAGGGGCTCGCGAGAGGTATGGATGGTGCACTCGGCCGGAGTGGCCTGCAGAAGCTCCATGTGTATCGTGACGAGGATTAGACCAACTTCTGCGTGATGCAGCCGGGAGGGTCCCGCCCTGTGCAGTGCGGGACCGATGCGCTTGACAACGTCTCCAAAATGTACATGTTAAAAAAAGACTTGTTGCGAAGTATCCCAATAGGCACCCGTAATTTTCGAAATTTAGAAAACCTTGAAGAAAAAAAAAAAGATTTTCAGCACACTCAATAAGGCGTGTGTAAATCCTATGTAAAAATACAACAGGTGAAAAAAAAATTGCAGAAAACGGAAGAACCAGAACAATCGACATGTCTTGATCCGTCAAGACTCATCAACGACAAGCCTAGCGCGCAGCGGTGGACAATCGTAAAAAAAATTATTGGGCCATGTCAACCGAGCCACCCTGAACGTCGTCATTACCATCCGTTAAAAATGCAATCTACACCAGGTATAGGAATTGGAACTATATAAGATCGACCATGGTTACCAAAGAAGAAGCATCTCAAAAAAAAGGAAAGGGTTCAGGAACTCGTCCATGCACTTTAACGGACCAGGGACTTTTCCAGATCTAGCGTTTGGTTTAGCGGACTAGGGACTTCGCAGATTGAACTAGGCCTGTTTGGGGTTGAAGTGTTGACTGTGGGGTTTAGCGGTAGGTAAGGGACACGGCTAGGCAGACCCGGTTGGGCCTCTGGACCTGGTAAGGCGGGAACAGTCTGGCCGAACCGAGGATATCGGTTGCTTTAATTTTTCGGGGGTTGTCATCATAAATACTGGCGTTTTGTCGGTACGACTCCCTTTTGATGCCTTCGGGCGTCAAAGTGAGTCAACTTTGCGTGACTCATTTGGTCTCAGGAGTGTTCGGCGGTTCTTGGGTGTGTGGTATGTTGGCGGTGAATTTTTACAGCTATGGCTGTGATTACTATGGTTCCTCACGTGCTTCGATGTGTACATCTTTTGGTGTATGCATTTGATGTATGAGTGCGAACTTGCGTGTCTTTTTTGTTGCTTGCATCCAGCGTCGTAATCTGCTAGGAGATTAGACCTAGAGGGGGTGGCGGCGAATGTGTTACGAAGAGAGTTACGAAGTGAGTTGGAGTGAGAAGTGGGCGTCTAAACTAAGTCTGTGAGTGGTGGACACGATGAGTAACGAAAGCGGGATGGGTGGTACAGGCGGTCCTATTAACTCCGGAGGTTCCTGACGATCGGGACGGGGCCGGGGCAGCCATAGACCACCTAGTCGTAGCGAGAACAGGATGGTTGGGCGTACCTGCTACGAGTGTGGTGAGCCGGATCACTTCGCCAGTGTCTGCAAAGAGTATTGGGAGGCCAAGGATCGGGGGGTTCCGTTTGTACCTCCTCCACTACCAGCGTACGTAAGAACGGGTCGGACTATGTTTGGTAGTGGAAGCGAACGCCGGAGTCACTCGGCGGACAACTACGTGATGAGAAGAGAAGACGAGGAGACAAATGCGATGATGAGTTATTTTCAAGAGAAGGCTCTGATTTGGAAACGGGAGAAGGAGAATTTGGCAAAGGAAGAAAAGAAGCGAAAACAAGAAGCGTTGCGACTAGAGGCGGAGAAGAAGAAACATGAAGAAATTGCAGAGCGGAAGTGAGTTGAAGACGAACGAGACGCAAGGCTACTACGTATCATCTGTTCGGAAATCTGAGTTGAAAGTGACACCGAGAATGAACGCGCTCCACGACGAATCAAGAAATTGGTGAGACGAAACGAGAGGGGTGAGACGTTGGAAGAAGAGAAGGAAAGGTTATGACGAACGATCGCCCTTCACCAGGGGGAGGAAGTTGTTGAGGACGAAAAACTCATACTGCTACGAAGACGAGCGGCAGGATTGGTAATTAGTCACAAGAGGAAGCGAGAGAAGGAGGTAGTGATTGGTGACAGTCCACCAATGATCATGCCTACCAAAGGACAACGGACGGAACTGGGAACGATGGCGAAGTTACGGATCGAGGAGATACGTGAAACGGGGAAGGTGGCAACATCATCCTCCCCAATACCTGAGCCGTCGGGGAAGATTGCCTTGTCCCTCAAACATATCTCGGTTGGGACTGGCCCGGGTGCAAGGGAGAAGTACGAAGCTGACTGTCGGGAACTCTACGAAGCTCTGACAGTGGAAGAACTGAAAGAGGCATGCAAGACAGAACGAATTAACTATGGTAAGCGCGAAGCTGCGATCAAACGTCTAGTCCTACGCAGGGTTGTCAAAGCATATGATCCGATTAACGTACCACTACCTGCAACCCCGGTGGTCAGGAGGATGACGAGAGCGTCGAAGGTCAGTGAAGCAGAAGAGGATGACAAAGAGTCAGAGTGAGATGGGGGACCTCGTGATCTATGAAGTCATATTGAAGAAGTGGCCGAGCTGCGACTGTTACATGGAGGCCGTGGTAAGAGAGAAGAGGGTTGTATGCGTGCGTTGTTTTTGGCATTGGTTCTTGAAGGCGAGATAACTTGGTGTGAGAAATTTCTTGAGTATTGGAGGGAGGCGGCGAAAAGTGGGAAGTTAGATCTGATTTCTCCAAAAGGTTGTGTGTATGTTATCGTATCGCCATGGTATAAACAGTGCTATGTTGGGATGACCGAACGGGACCTAGTATCGAGATGGAATGAACATGTGAGTTGTGCAAGACAGGGAGATAGGAAGAGAGGAAGGAACCTGTACAATTGGTTAGGGAAGGTAGGCGCCCTCGCGTATGTAGCTATCCCACTATGCTTTAGTAATGATAGGAGGGAGTTGGAAGCCATTGAGCGGACACTCATCCGGACATGGTCACCATCATTGAACTCGAAAGGAGCCGGGAAAGGGAACGGAAGGAGACGGAGGAGAGGGAAGAGGGAACGGAGGAAGAAGGTCAAAGGTAATGACGAGCGCACTAACTCGTCAACATCGAGAATCCTAGAGCTCTGTGAAGAAGGGGATGAGCCGACGGTCAGGGTTGTGGATCTACTGAGAAAACTCAGTCGGGAGAAACCGAAATAGGACGTGCGGATTAGCTATAACGGTGGTACAGCGTGGGTCGACGAATGGCGGGTCGTGAGACGTTTATTCGGCGAATCGTGAGTGATCGTTGGTAAACAGACTAGACCCCTTCGAAAGTGTAAGTCACTGTTCGAGACGGAAGGTTGGGTGACCGTACAGAACGTTATCGAAGCATCGCCTGGAACGATACGATTGAAGCAGGAGCTGATTGGTATGTTTAGGGATAAAAGAAAGAAGAAGATTCTGCTGAGTAAGTCGAAGAGCGAGTTGGTTAGATACTATGGGGTTGCGAAGTTGTTCTCAGAGAAGCGTAACTGTACGAAGGTGAGGAGAATGGTCTCCGATGTCTTCAGGACGAAATTTCAGATGAATGTACACAAGAGGGTCGTAGTGAAGGTCAAATATGACGAGAGGATTAAAAAAAGTGAGGTTGTAAGGGTAGTAAGAAGTGGTATAGGGAGATTGCATCTCCATCGATCAGTTCTGAAGATGGTTCGAAGACGATCCCGCGTCGTATGGACGAGAGGTCCTAACGTCGGGGATTTGATCCATAATCACCTTTGCTTCGCGGCGAATGGAGTCTCTGTGTGCAATTGCATCAGCATGTCCTTTCCCAAGGTGGGGGGACACGTCCATTTTCGGATTGGCGACTGGGAGGGCTGTCCGAATATAGCGCGTAATGCCAAGAACATACCGAGTGACTATGGGACTCGTTTGTGTGAACGACTGTCGAAGGAGGTCACGGAAGGGTTCTCCGACCTTAGTTGGATGGGTGAGGGTGTGGGAAAGGTGGAATTCACAATCAGAGAAATGGAGAAATGTATTGTGACCAAGGGGAAGGAAAAGGGCAGCGATTTGATGGAGATCAACAATGTGAAGAAAGAACTGCAGGGCTTGGTTTGTGGCCCCCTTGACAGAAACCCCGACAATACTCTCGTGATGTGCCCAACAACATATCGAGAGGCGATGAAGACTACATTCATCGACAACGAAGGGTACACAGTTCGAAAAGAGAAGGAAGATGACATCTTGGAGGATGAACTATGTGTATACGTAGGGAAGGGCTTTGAACAGGTGGGAAAGTGGAAGAAGGATGGGAGGATGGGTAAAGCCTATGCGTTGCCAAAACACAAGGACACGTCTAAATATAGACCAATATGTCCAACGTACAGTGAACCGGGTAATAACGCATGCAAGAAGGTCTCGAGAGCCTTTAATATGATGTTGTTCTCATTGCCAGACAACAGGCATTTTAACTTGAAGTCCATCTGTGGGCTGCGAGATAGGCTGAAGGGGATTAACTGTAGAATGAGGAGTGTTGGAAGTGGCACACAGCTGCTTGCTTGATCATAGGATATTAAAGATATGTTAAGCAAGATGCCGCATGCGACGATCAACCGTGCTGTTGACTGGTGCATTTGGTGGTTTTAATCCAGGGGATACCGGGGAAAGTTTGTGAAGTGATAGGGAAAGGGTTGTATGCTGAGTAGATTGGAATGTATTGAGGGTTGCTAGTTTATTAGCTTCGGCGTCATTCCGGAATTCGTCCATTTTGAACTTGAATTTTGTTTTATGATTGCGGGTGGCACCATCTTGCAGCAGACGGTGGGGATCCCCATGGAAAAGTCTACGAGCCCACCGCTTACCACGAGCCCACCGCTTGCCTGTCTGATGTGCACCAAAGCAGAATGGGATCTGTTGATTTCATTAGGGAACGGAGACGGTTTCTCGAAGGTTTGAGGTATGTTGATGATGCGTCAGTATTTGTTGCTTTCGATCCACAACGTTCGGAAACAAGGGAACGTGCTGAGAGGATTCTCGATTGTTTTGAAAGGTGTTATGACGAGGCATTGACACTCAAGCGGACTGACGAGGACCAAGAGGCTTAGGATTTTTTGGGCTGTCGTCTGAGTGTGCATAAGCAATTTCCATTTCTGGGTTGTTGCCAAGCAATGAAAAACGACAAGGCCCTGAGTGAGGGCCAAACTCTGGTGTTTCGGACATTTCAGGATTATGAATCCTGGACCAGCAAGAAAGCTAAGCTGGCTGTTATCACAAGTGCATTACATCGAATTCATCAAGACTCGATGGTCGGGTTGGAGTTGATGGAGACCTTACTTCTGCTGAAAATCGAGCTTCGCGGAAGGAGATACCCGGACCATTTTTTCCGTAGAGCATTACAAAATTTCGCAAGGGACAAGACCGATTTTTGGAAATTGGCAGCGCAGTTGCTAGCAGATTGACTGTCTAAGATTGGAGTGGATGAGTTGCTTTTGTGTTTGAATGTAGGTTTGATATGTTTGATTGTATGTCAGGACAGGTTCTTTTCTGACTTCGGATTTAGCGGACCAGGGACTTTCCCAGATCTAGCGTTTGGTTTAGTGGACTAGGGACTTCGCAGATTGAACTAGGTCTGTTTGGGGTTGAAATATTGACTGTGGGGTTTAGCGGTAGGTAAGGGACACGGCTAGGCAGACCCAGTTGGGCCTCTGGACCTGGTAAGGCGGGAACAGTCTGGCCGAACCGAGGATATCGGTTGCTTTAGTTTTTCGGGGGCTGTCATCATAAATACTGACGTTTTGTCGGTACGACTCCCTTTTGATGCCTTTGGGCGTCAAAGTGACTCAACTTTGCGTGACTCATTTGGTCTGAGGAGTGTTCGACGGTTCTTGGGTGCGTAGTATGTTGGCGGTTGTGTTACGTGGAATTTTTACAGCTATGGCTGTGATTACTATGGTTCCTCACGTGCTTCGATGTGTACATCTTTTGGTGTCTGCATTTGATGTATGAGTGCGAACTTACGTGTCTTTTTTGCTGGTGCGTCATATACAACTACTGCAGTCGTCTACTAGGCCGGGTAGTAGACGTTTCTCTTGTTGCTTGTATTGTTATTCTACTCATTATTGGTTGTTTAACATCATTCTAGCCACAGTGGTTGTGACTCCATGAGAAACTGTCAGGCAACGTAACGCTCAATAGGGAGGCAGTCCCTTCTAGGGGAAATACTCCGTGCTACTAAAGATATGAAGTAGGCAATCCCTGTTCTTGGGTCCTTCTAATATATGTATCCCCCTCGATCAATATCCGACCAGCCCGGTGGGCTGGGCCCTATCTCCCCCCGATTGCATCCCACTATATTTTTTTAAGGCGTCAAAAAAATCTTTAGAAAAATAAAATAAAATATAAGTCAATCAAAAACCTTTTTTGAAGTTTTTTCTTTTTTTTGAAAACTAAATATAATTTAAAAAGTCAAAAACAGAAAAAAAAAAAGAAAAAAAAAATCAAGGGGAGACGATAATTGTATTTTGAGCTAGGCTACCAGCCGGGCCGCCCGGTCCCGGGTGGCCAACCCGTTCAAGAATCAAGGAAGGTCCCAAAAAAAAAAAACAAAAAAAAAAAAACAAAAACATCCGAACAAAAAGTATGTTATGCAGAAAAATAAACTGAACAACTTTTGCCTCAGGGTTACATTGAAATTCTTCACCAAATTTAAAATAAAAAATAAAATTTAAAAATAATTATTTTATTTTTATTTTTATTTATTTTTTTGGCCCGGCCGGGCAAGTGACCCCGAGCCACTCTGGTAGCCTAGATTTTGAGTCAATTTTTTTTTAATGCAAGGTTAACTACTAGGCTACCAGAGTGGTCTGGGGTCACTTGCCCAGCCAGGCCAAAAAAATCAAGAAAAAAAAAAAAAAAAAAA